TTTCATGTAGCCATGATTACCAAAAGTTAATAAGGAATTGGAGCTAAACTCATCAAGCTCTGCTAAAACTAGGAGCAAAGCCAAGGATTACTTTTAGTGTGGACAAACTAACGATTTCAAAAATACCTTCAATTTTTTTTTCTTACTTTCTTTTTTAAACATTTTTAAGGAAAAATATATACTCGAAAACCAATCTAAATTATATACAGATTACTAAACCTTCAAATTGTTGCCAACAAATTCTACATGATTACCAAAAGTTAACAAGTTGACAAAGAAATTAATTTTAAAGAAAAACATCCTATCAAAGAATGATTTACTTACGCCCCAATGGATTATATCAATAAATCACTCTAATCAGGTAGTGATTTTCCCTTTTCCCTCACGTTGAAATAGGTGCTTCAACTTATCCCACCACAACAAACGCAATATTCTTTAACTTGATGACAAATTAGTTTTGCCATTCCGTCCAGATAAATATCCTCATATTCAATTACCTACTCCACTGCCTAGAACCACTAGATGAATTCTTCTGAATCCCTATGACCATCAAAATCGTGTAAATCCACCTTTACATCTAGATCCTTCTACTCGGATATTACATGTCAAATTTTTGAGATATCGGTTTTTCATCCTTTCGATCTTCTGGATTATCTCTTCTCGAAGGCAACAAGTCTCTACTGCAATTGAAGGAATTCTCGCTGCATATTTTTTATAAGAAGTTCAAGGAAAATTCTTTGTGGATTTCTCATATGGGCATTGTGTCATCTCCTCCCGAACAATTTTCTGACAATTGTCTCCTTGGTGGCATGGCTAAGGTTTAGTTTTGGGAAAAGCAAAAAAAGGTGTATGAGGATGATTTCAAGTGGGAAAGATAATTTTAAGTGGCTGCTTTGAAAAATCAACAAGGGGAAAGGTTTTTCGGTGAAGTTTGGGTTAAGTAGTGGTGGATTTTGGTAGCCTAGGGTAGGACTAGGCTTAGGCTAGCTCTAATACCAAATGATACAGAAGTTTAACCAAAAAGTACTAGGAAAATAAATATTATTACTGAAATCAAAAAAGAAATTACAAGCATACAAACTAAAATAAGAAATAGCAACAAACACGACACAATATGCAACTAGGGTGACTCAAAGGTGGTGGTGGTAGTTGTAAGGGGTTAGTAAAGGTGGCGACAAGGTAGAGAAGTGGAGCAAGGGGACCGGGTATAACAAGGACACGACAGGTGCTTGTTGTCGAGCAACGAGGAAAAAAAATGGTTAAAGGGATTTCTGGGTAGTGGCGGCCTAGCGGGAAAGCTAGACAGACGGGAACCAGCAAGAGGGAATTGAGAAGGGCAGCAAGGAGGCTGAGGACTACAGAAAAACAGCTGGAAGCGATTGTTCTGAGTAACTAAAACAAAAGAGAGATGTGTAGCAAGCGAGCGGGAGAGAAGCAGAGAAGTTGGAGAAGGATAATCACCATCTCAAGAGCGAAATACAGCTGAAGCACTACCCAACCCTTAAATACAGCCATATAGGGAAAACCAAAGATTTTAGCGGCTGTCTTGAACAAACACATGCAAAAATTACCTTAAACCATGACAAAAGCAACATAAATAATTCTAGGTTAAATAAAAGTGGACCACACTCCTAATAAGAGGGAATTTCCTGTCTGGAAAGACCGGTCAGTCCCTCCTAAGCTTGGAACAAGCCAGTCCATACATTATTTCATATGTGTGTTAGTTATCTTAATAGCCTCAATACTTGGAAAATATACAACTAAAAATAATATAAAAATATATTGTGGACACTGGTAGCTTCAATATTGATTTTTTCTTGCTAGCAAAATATTATGGACTTTATGAACTTCTTAAATTATTATGTACACAAGCTTGTCTTACAATTTTCAATTACGTGCTTTCTCATAGTCATGTATGTTCTTTTTTTAGCGTACCTAAAATTTAAAATTTTACTTTCGATGTGACCTGCAATGTTAAATATATCAATAAAATTATCTCAATTAAGTTATTTTTGCAATTACCAAAACATTGTAATGATATCATAAGCTCATGTGGTTAACAATTTACTAAAATAAATCAATATTTTTTAAAGATACTAGTTATCAAAGAACTGGGTGCCCAAATAATTTTCTTGGCATTAAATTTGCATGTATAAAGAAAATATTTTACTCTTATTAAAAAATAAACAAAAGACCATAACGAAACTGGTCTTCTTGGATGCAAAAGTGTTGACTCCTTCATTTGATACTCTACAATCATCCGAGATAATTGAAGTATTAAAAATGTTTATAGTTGTCATCGCATGGTTGACAACTTATCCATCTCACTATAACTCAATCTAAGATATCTTTGATTCTTGGTGTAGTTAATAAGCATATGTATAACTAAAAAAAAAAGTTGAGTTGTCAAAATTTTAAGAAAAATTAAAGAATGTCTACAAAAAAAGCATAGTACAACAACAACAACAACAACAACAACAAAGCCTTAATCCCACTATGTGGGGTCGGCTACGTGAATCTTTTTTCTCCATTGTGTCATATTTAGTGTCATATTTTCATTTAGTTCTAATAAATTAAAATCATTTTTTATACAATAAGCCCAAGTCTTCCTAGGTCTACCTCTGTATTTCTTAACACAATAAGCCCCAATAAGCCCAAGTCTTCCTAGGTCTACCTCTGTATTTCTTAACATAAGTCGAATCTAAAACATCTACTCTCCTAATCGGATCATCATATGGTCGACGCTTGATGTGACCAAACCTTCTAAGACAACTCTCTCTATTTTTGTCCGTCACAGGAGCTAGACCAACCCTATCATAGATGTATTCATTTCGCTTTTTGTCTCTAAGTGTAAAGCCACTCATCCACCTAATCATTCTCATCTCGACAATACTTAGTATTATGCTTCTCTTTTAAAGGCCAACATTTAGCGTTATAGAGCATTGCAGGTCTCATCGCAGTCTTATAAAATTTTCCTTTCAGTCTAAGCTGTACTTTTCTCTAAGCTGTCTAAGCTGTACTTTTCTATCACACAAAAGGCCCGGAGCATTCCTCCACTTCAACCAACTTAAATTCTACTTTTAACATCCCCATCTATATCACCATCGCTTTGAAAAACGAACCCGAGATATCTAAATCGTTCACAGCTTTTAATAATTTGATCACCCAAAGTTACACTTCTGTCACTAGAGCTGCTACTACTAAAATTACATTCCATGTATTCAGTTTTAGTTCTACTCAAATGAAGGCCTTTAGACTCCAGTGTAGACCTCCATATTTCAAGTTTTTTCTAGACTTTTAGTCTCGTCTTATCCACGAGAAGGATATCATCAGCAAAAAGCATACACCAAGGTACATCCTCCTGTAAATGTCCATAAGACCATCCATAACTAAAGCAAAAAGATATGGGCTTAAAGCCGATCCTTGATGTAATCCAACAGAAATAAGAAAATATTTGGCCAAGTAACAACTCTAGTATGCATATCTTTAATTGCTTGAATATAAGTCATATCAACACCTTTCTTCTCAAGAACTCTCCAAAGGATATCTCTTGGATGTGAAAAGTAGAGGGTTGCATTAGGTAGTCGCCAGCGTAAAACTTGTCAAAAAAAATGACATGAATCATTTTGATCTTTAAAAAAAAAGTATAGTAAATAAAAAAAATAATTATTTAAGGATTAAAATTTATTTTGAAGAAGATTATGTTTTGAAGTTGATTATGCTAGACTATTAAGGATTAGTAGTCTATGTCAAGATATAGTTTCCTGTGTGAAAATCTCAAGCTTAGAAAAGTAAGGAGTCGGTCGTTGTAAATAAAACTAGTGTCGAAATAAAATAAAGGACATGGCTTATTTTGCTTGTAAAATTACGTAATTAAAGTTCCAATTGAAGAATTTGACTTCCCAGTTGTATAATATATGATTCTTGATTAAAATAATCAAGTGGTTATATACAATGCAAGATATCTTATATTCTATGAAAGAATTAAATATATCCAAGTAAATTATCATTTCATCAGACTAAACAAAACAGATCATCGCTCAGCATGTCTCCATATAATTAGTTGATATCTTCATTTTCCAATTTCATAATAAGATAAAATTTAGTAATGTCCATGCTCCAGGTTGGGAGGAGTGTTGCAGAGAGAAGTGCAAGATTGAAATAATTTTATTAATATGTTTTTATCCTCATAATGAGAATATTCACTTATCATCTTCATTTTGTTCTTCCTCAGTATTCAGTCAATATGATATAACAAAGAATCTTCCTCCCAAACAATTTCAATGTGAATGTACCATCAAAGCAAAGTGATGACTTAATTACCACCGAACAAAAATGGCTCCAATTAAATTGCTTTCATTCAACAACATGCAATGATTAACTTTGAAGAATTAAAAATTAAGGGCATTTGCATACATATCACCCAATTGCCATGTATTTACATATATAACACCTAAACATTGTTTTTTTACATTCATACCACCCAAATCTTTCATATCACACCACATATACCACCATTTTAACTTTTAAAATGGTGGTGTATGTGGTGTGATATTTAACACCTCCAATTAAATTGCTTTCATTCAACAACATGCAATGATTAACTTTGAAGAATTAAAAATTAAGGGCATTTGCATGCATACCACCCAATTGCCATGTATTTACATATGTAACACCTAAACATTGCTTTTTAAAAATTCATATCACACCACATATACCACCATTTTAACTTTTAAAAGTGAATACACCATTTCATGCATAGGTAAGGAGGTGTGTTTGTAAATATTAAAGTTTAGATCTTCGGAAAGTAAATACATAGGAATTGAGTGGTATGTATGTAAATCTTCCTAAAAATTATAATCAGAAAGATTGCATCCATTAAAAGCATAATCATGATTCATGAAGGAAATTTTTTGACTAGAAAGAAGATGAAAAGGAACCAAACAAAAAGCAAATGCTGAGAACAGGAACTTTTAAAGACATGTCAGAAAAAAACTTACTCTAATTCTATAACTTCTAGACATCTGACGGACCTTTTGATTTCTCAGAACCACGCCTTCTGACTTGTGAAGTTTCACAATGTCTACATGGGGTTTGCCCTTTAGTACATCTCTCAACATGCTGAAAAGCTTCTCCTAAACAAAAGTGCCCCATACATTAAGTTATAAACTAAGATTTTGATAGGAGAAAGAATAAAAAAAAAACTGTATTCAAATCCTCGAGCATCAGATAAAATCAGTCTACATGGCAATAGAAAAGAAAAGTCGATGATTTCCTGTGTACCATTTGAAATTGGATTATTCATAAAAGTAACATCGAACAATCCAAATTGCAATACAATCACACAAATCTTGAAGAGCATCATAAAACTCAACCATATATTTCTACTTTCATTAAATTTTCAATGAGTTATCCATGAAACAAAAAAAGAGTTTGTTTCATTTTTTACCTGAGCATTGATTTCTTGAATATTCAAGTTTTGGAAGACATGTGCATAACTCCCCCCCCCCCACACACCAAAAAAAAACCCATATTCTACAAATAATTGCCAGGATTATCTTAAAACATTCATTTTGCAAGTACTCCAAATATCATTAAAAAGTAAGAGAGAGAGAGATCCATCTATCCTTGACAAGATATGCCCCCTTGCAGGCAGGCATATGAGAAAAGGGAAGCAATGAGAATTATGTTTTCAATGAAAGAACCATGTGCGTCGTTTCATTGATCATGAGATCAAAGAAAAGCTTTCTAAAAAAACAGAAGCACGCCTAAGCACTATGGGCTTGTTTGGGATCACTTTAGTTTTCAGTTTTTAATAAGCGCTAAAGGCTCGTTTGGGATCATTTTTGTACTTCATTTTTTTTTTAAACATATTTGATTATTGTCTTTTTTACATATTTTTTAGTTTTTGTTTTAAAAATAAATTAGCTTGTTTTTATAAACACTCAAAACATTTAGAAGTTATTTTTAATATTTTTAAGATTAACTAAACATGTTATAAAAATACATGTTTTATTTCAAGTAAAAAGATAAACAATCGAAAAGCTAAAATCAAAAGTGATCCCAAACAACCCTTAAAAGTGTTTTCTTTTATTTTCCTGTGCATATTCATCACCCGAAACAGAATTTTTAAGAATAATAGGGAATCAAAATTACTCGGTAAAACAAAAAAATATAAAATATTATCAACAAATTACCTGTCCCAGGACCAGAACAACATTAACGTTAAAAGTATTGATTGCTTGAAGAAGTAACTTCACCGCCACAAAACCATGGTAAGAATGTTAGTCTGCATGATAAGAGGCTAATACAAAACTATACAAGGATCCAAATTGGTAAATCAAGATACCTCGTACCCCAGACCTTCAATCCACCCCATAGTGTTGATTACCATGCCAGCAACTTCATATTCAGGGAAGCATAAGAACCGTTTCTCAAGAGTTTGCGCTAATTCCTTCATAAGAACTTTATATAACTCTACATTTACACTGTCAGGCAATTAATCTAGGGATGCTTCTATAATCTTGATTTAAGCAAAAAACCTTTTGACGTAAATATGAACCAAGGTATCTAATTCCTTAATTAGAGAAAAATGAGATTAAAGTTAAAAACAAAGCAAAGAACAAATATATTTGGATTTATGTCTCACTTTGTTGCTTTAAAGCTCTGCATGAAAAGGTGTATATCACTTTTAAAAAGTGGTAATAGTGCATTTTTTATGTGATTAACGATGTGAGTGCTAAGTGTGTAAATATGAAAGTTTAGGTGTGAGATATGTACATAAAAATTGTGTGCTATGTATGTAAATTTCCCAAATATATTTTATACAATAACCGCTTATTGAAAGTACCTTGCGCTAGTGTGGCCATAGAAATAGACAACAGGCATCTCAGTAGGAAATCCCCAAAAAGCATCCATAGGCATTTCGACTGAGCTAGCCGAAATACAACCAGGCATGGTAATAGATCCCTGACTAATATCTAAATCCACAAAAGTAGGTTTCCAGTTCCTCTTGCAAGCCCAGTTAAGCAGCATTCTACACAGACTACTTTTACCAGAATCTGTTGGCCCGACAACAATAGTACGAGGGCCCTGTAAAATGAAGTAATCAGTACAAAGTAGGCCGAAAAGTGGTGTAAATGGATGAAGCTCCCAAACATTAAGGAAAATAATGCATTAAATTGGAGGTGGTAATTTTGAAATGAGATGTGACGTACTCAAAAAATTCACATTCAATAGCGCACTTAAGCATAGAAAGAAAATATGAAATTTAACTGAAGTATTAATTTGAATATTATGTCTCAAAGGTCATATTATAACCCAAAAGATGAATTTAGCCAATCATATTCAATAAAAAAATAGCACTTAATTTTCCAAAATAATGCAAGAAATTGCAAATGCTACAATTTCGAGCAAGGAGAACAGAAGAAATGGTATATTGCTACAGTTTAGCAAAGAAAACTAGAGGAAAAAGTTACCACCCAACTGCAACCATCACAGGAAAAATAAAAATAGTTAAATAAAAAAAGAGAAAATTGCTGAAACTGCAGCCAAGAAAATTAAATATTATAAAATTAATGCTGACGATGCTAAAATCAAAAGAATCAATGGGGGAGAAGGACCCTGCATCAACCCTTTTCCTTTTTAATTAGTCAATATTAATTAGTTTATTTTATTCTTAAATAAAAATATTCAACAAAGATGGTAAGATATTTTGATAAACTTTGCAATAAAGTTTCTAAAAATATGATCGAATTTAGTGATCAAAACATCATTAAAAATAATAATAATTTTTATTTTTATCATAAAAGGTTTTGTGTAGCTCCAGTGGCAGACAAAATTAGAGAGAGTTGTCTTAGATGGTTTGGTCACATTAAATGCGACCATCTAATGATCCGGTTAGGCGAGTGGATGTTTTAGGTTCAACTTGTGTTAAGAAAGGTAGAAGTAGACCTAAAAAGACTTGACCATGTTGTATAAAAAATGATCTTAATTTATCAAAATTAAATGAAAATATGACACTTAATAGAACATAATGAAGAAAAAAAATTCATGTAGTCGACCCCACTTAGTGGGATAAAGTTTGGTTGGTGTTTAGTTGTTCGTGCGTTTTCCAAAACATCTAATTTTAGTTTTCACTACATTATCTTTAGTTGATGATACTCTTATCACTCTTTTCCTGATATAATCATTGCTTAATCCAACCCTCATCATTTTATCACACTTCCATTTTAACAGTCATATTTTGCTATACTAAACTCAATCATTGGAGAATCTTGTAGAGCACATCACTCAAATTCAAATAGCATAGCCAGTGTAATACTAGTTTTCTAAAGTTTATCTGTAAGCCTCCCTGATATTCCTTATTAAATATTATACTATTTGTTATGACAACCTAAAATTAAGCCAAGTAATAATATAGGCATCTATACCAAAATGAGAATTCTTATTTCTAATAGCTCTAATAAACATAGATATATTTCATAGAGACAACATTTGATCTTATAGTAATATTAATTAAAACTCCTCAACTTAAAATTTTTATCATGTACTCCATCTATGTTCCATTAACTCTCACTTCTCATGAAAAAAAAAAAAAATCCAATAACCTACCTTTTTACTTAATTTGGTAAGGATCTCACCAATTATAATTTAGTCATCTATAAATGCCCTGCAAGATAAAAGACTCAGGCCTACAGTCGTAAAAAAACGCAAAAACATTCGCAAAAGGATTCACAAGAAAACGAAAAGTTAGCAAGCAAGTTTTTACCTGTGAAGAATCCAAATTATTGCTATTTTTAGTGCGAGACCTTCTCCCATCCAATATAGCGTGGACATTCACATAGCTCACCATGGGCGTCTATCAGAAAGCCAAGTATCAAGCAGATGTAACAAAGTCAATCGAAAAAGGCAAGTGAAACCAAGTTTAACAACACCAAAACTCCTGTCAGCAAAAATGCTCACTCACTTCATCCGCCACATACTCAACCTCGCTGATTCCGTCCAATTCGATTGTCGCGCCCTTCCAAGTAAAAATCTGCCACAAATGTTGCGAAAATATTCATATCTAATATAGTAGCGCAAGTGATTGGGGTGGGAAGAAGGATTACAGCGATATTTCGGAGAGCGGGAACAATGATCCACTTCCCCGGCGGGAGCTCGGCGCCGAATACCTCAGCGGCCCCGGCAGTGAGGCGTAGGCGAAGAAGAGCTTCGGGGCCCACCTCCAACCTCAACTCACTCTCCTTCTCCAGCACAAACTGCCGAGTTGACGCCGTTGTGGCGGAGTCATTGGTGGACATGGATATCCTTTCTGGTGTTGGTTTCCCTCTTTCGAAACCTTGAGCAACATGCAAATATGCCGGGTAGACCTGAGGTCGGCTGTTCACAATCAGATTTCCAGGTGAGTTGGTTCAATTTGAGTTCTAAAAAAAATTTTATATTTCAACCCGATCTCCACTGAGTCAAAATTTAAATTAATTTTTGAGTGATTAATGAGCTTCTTATTAAATTCACTAAATTCACAGTCATATTTTATTAATGATCCGATTTCGAGCCAAACTGGATCTGCTAAAAAAAAATTGGATCCAAAATTTTGGCTCGCAACTTCGCTGATTTACTATGATCTGATCTCGATCTGAGCCAAAATTAGATTCAATCTTCGAGCTAAATTTGCAGACCTAGATCTAGACATTGGGCGAGTCAAAAATTTTAGATTTCGACTCGGTCTCCACTGAGTCAAAATTCAAATTAATTTTTGAGTGATTAACGATCATCTAATTAAATTCATTAAATTCACAGTCCGATTTCGAGCCAATCCGGGGTTTGCTAAAAAAAATTTGGATCCAAAATTTTGGCTCGCAGCTTGGCTTATTTATTCTGATCCGATCTCGATCCGAGCTAAAATTAAAATCAATCTTCAAGCTAAATTCAGACCTAGACCTAGACATTGAGCGAGTCGAGCTTATTCGTGGTCTTTGACCAGTCAAAACAGTTCGGGTCGGGCTTGAGCCCGGTTTCTATTTAGATTTCCATAATTAGGCCCACCCACTTAATGGGTCAGGCTAGCCCACGGGCCTGTGGGCCTTAACAGAAAAAAAACAAAGTTTTGAGTGGTTTGCATGTAAATAACCAAAGTTTTGCATAAGGCATTTGAATATATAAGAATATGATGGAATGCATGAAAATACATAAAGTTTGAGTAGTGCACATATAAATATGGCATGCATGTAAAAATTTGAGAGAGAGAGAGAGGAGAGAGAATCTTCTTTGCTCGGTTTGAGTGGAGAGGGCTTGTTGTTTGTTGGGAGAGATTGGAAGAATATAGGTGAAAGAGAAGGAGATGGGATATCGCCATGGGTTAGAGAGAGAAGAAAAGTGAGTTATGAGCATAAGAAGTTCTTGGTTGGGAGAGTTAGTGATTTGGAGCTTGGGTTGAAGTGAAGAGCTAGCTTGGGAAAGAAAGGTGCACTTGGGTCTCATGACGAAGAGAATAGTGGAGAAAGGAGAGTGCTCTCGGGTTAAGAGTTTGTGGAGAGAGGGTTCTTAGGTTTGTTTACAGATTGAAAGAGAAGAGTGGTAAGGCAGGGTAAGTTCCACATAGGTGGGTCGGGTTCCACATGTTGGTCCCGCCCAGGGTAGGTTCCACATAGTTGGGTCGGATTCCAAATTTCTATTTTCTTACAGTCGCGAGCCCGTCAAGCCACCCGCCCAATGTCTAGGTCTACACATGAGTGACCTCAGTTTGGAAAAAAATAAAGCTATGGATTTAATGAATATGAGTTTCAGTTGAAGCCTAGATTTACTCCCTAAGCTTGATGGATTTAGGGGTTATTTGATCAGTTATAAGAAGTATCTTGCATTTATTTTGCATGATTTTTAGGATTTCAGTCATTTGATATTGAGAATTATAAATTTAATGTAAAACTAAATGAATTTAGAAATTATTGTTTAGTTCATTTTTAGTTTATTTGGATATTGATGGATTTGGTCTAGTTTCAAATACATAACTCTATGCAAAAGTGTTGTCAGCCATTGCACCGACCACCTTTGATCACTGTCGCTCACCACCTCATTTCATAGTTGCCTACCACCACCGATCGCCCAACCAGCTGCCTGTCATGACCTGGCCTAGGGTCTGGGATTAATCAAGAAGGGAACAGACGGTGAAAATCAATTCTCTGATATTCTATTTTTATCGATTTTTATTATCCGACTGTTCGTTCCTGTTTTGGTTAATTCCAAGTCTCAGGTCGGGTCATGATAAAAGTGGTATTAGAGTAGGAGGTTTAAATTAAATAATATGAATATTAATGAAAGAGTTAATATGATAATTGGATTAATTTATTTGAAGTTAAAAGATTTAGTTGAGTCTAATTAAAATATATTGTTGTTATTTCAAAATTATGAGCGGTCAGGAGGAACAGATAAAAAATGAGAATGTAGAATCCATTGTACTCCAGAATGTCGTAGTCAGTGTTGGTTCATTCTCTGATATGTTGAATGATGTAACTTAGTTTATTAAAAATTCTCAATCTCAAGAGAATATCAGTGGAGGAGTACCAATGGATAAGTGTTTAAAGCTCTTTCAAGAAATGAGACCACTTTTGTTTTTTTTAGCATGAGGGCTAGTGAAAGCTGAAAACCGACTATTGAGAGTGGAAAAGATTATTAATTGATTGTCATGTCTACCAGAGAGAAGAGTTACCCTTGCCACCTTTGCTTTTGAAGAATAAGCGGAGAGGTGGCAAGGTTAGCTGCAGGAAAAGTTCATAGGCAGAACCAGCCGCTTGGTGTAGTGGGATAAATTTTTGAGAACCTTCAGAGTTAATTTGTATCATTGTCGGCCAGAAAATAGATATAAAAAGAATTCATTAGATTGGTGCAAGGAGATCTATCTATTATGTAGTATGAGTCAGAGTTCACTATGTTATCAAGATATACACCACAACTCTTTTCAAATGCAGAGGAGAAATGCCAAATTTCTTTCTAGATTAAAGAATTCAATCATGCATCCACTAGTGCAACTTAGGATTGATGAATATTCAGTACTAGTGGAGAGGGCTAGGCAGGTGCAGATAAATTTCTAGCAAACTCAGAATCATAGAGATTTGCATAAGAGAATGAGTTTAGAAAAAGTGACACCAATAGTTCATTCAGAAGAAGGAGAGTTCATTGGAAAGAAGATAAAATCCTACCCAGGTAAATTTTTTAGCTAGACGGGCAGTAACACTATACAACCCTGTGTTAAGTGTGGGAAGTAGCATTGTGATGAATGTTTTCTTTGGTTGAAGCTGTGTTTGCAGGAAATTTGGACATCAGAGGAGAAATTACTCTAATGCTATTCAATGATCCACATCAGATGGTCACTCGGGAAGGGATCCAAATCAAAGGAATTTTGAAGAAGGATCTACTTCTAGAAGTGGTCAACAGATGAACAGATGGTGACACCATGACTCACGAAGAGCAACCAAGGCAGAACATTCACTCAAGATTTTATTCTTTAACTCACTAGGAACCAAAAACAAACAATGCTTCAAAAATGAGGCAAATCTCAAAATAGAAGAGTGAGGAAAGAAATGAAAGTCTCAAATAGCACTAAAATCAGTTTCACACTTACCAATTTTTTCCTTAAATTTGAATTCGTGGCTTACGACCCTCGGCGAGCCATTAACCTGCTGCAGATTACAACTACAGTTGCTGGTACGCTGCGGGTCATGATCACAACTACTCTTATGGGCCTTCTACTGAATGAAACCAAGAGGGAGGGAGGGTCATGCGAACACGCGAAAAAAATTGAGAAGGGGCGAAGATTATTAGGAGAGGGGAAAAAAGAGCTCAAAGATTCTTAATGGAGGTTTACTGACCAAAGAAAAATATGTTGAGATTTTCATACCTATTTTATACTTTTTTTGATGATATTGCACTTTAAAGAAAAGGAGCAAATTTGGGTCATTGGAGCAAAAAAAATGCAAAAAGGAGCGAATTTGGAGCGAAAATGACCAAAATGTCAAGAATTGAACTAGGGCGCCGACGGCGAGCCCAACGGCACCGACGGCGAGCCCAACAGCATCGACGGCGAGATTTTCCCGAGACTCTAGAATTAATTCACTTAGAAGGTCCCCCGACGGTGGCCTCGAGGCCGTTGATGGTGAGATCGGCGGTTATGTCCAACCAGGCTTTGGATGAGGACAAATTTTGGAGGGGTGCTTAGGCAACACTTGAGAAAGCTCATCCACAACTTTAAAAGAAGATTTTGGCCAAAAATTGAAGAGAGCCTGGAGGTTAGAAATGTTCCATTAGTGTGTAGAGAGTTTACTAGAGTGTCTAAATTGTGAGGAATTCTTCGAGAGATTGTAAGAGTGGAGGGAAAGTGAGAGATTTCTTCATCCTTACCGCTTCGAAGAGGAATTATGTGTGCTGTAAAGAAAGGAAGAGATTCAGAGGAACTTTGAGGAGTTTTCTTGGGGATAAATCAGAGATAAGCTTATTTACTTGTTGTAGTTTTTATGACTTTGATTTTATATATGAATTCTGAGTTTTGTTGTGTTTTCCCCATGAGATCTGAGTAGTTTTCTCTATCTCTCTTCTTGTCTTCAGATTTGTGAAATGGTGATTTGAATTGGTGAAGTCATGAAAATGTTTAAGAAATTGTGATGATCTTTTCACTTCAATCTTAATTTACTTTTAATCTGGCCAATTAATTTGTTAAAATATGTTGAGTTTTACAACTAAAGTGAAGATTACA